AGTTAATGATTTAAATCCTAGACCTACTGAGATAGAGAATCCAAATGGTCAGAATCTTGAGTCACCAAATCAAAAGCCACTGAGAAGGTCAAGCAGGACAATCAAGGTCCCAAATAAGTTAGACCTATGATTTTAAAGGTCAAAAGGACTTTGACATCATTGTTTTGTATCTTGATTATGTTGTAGCATATTGTGCATTGTTTGTAAGGATGTAATCTACCATAGTGTTCATGTTACAATATAATTGGTGATTTTAGGATACTATCAATTGTTCTATTGAGAGATGTGTTATTGTGTTCTAAGGGTAAAGGGATGTAATAGATTGAAATAATTGTGAGGTCAAGGGAACTCACTCTTCTGTATTAGTATTATATTTATATTGTTATCTTGAGTGATGTCCCTTACATGTTGTTATCTATAAATAGTTCTCTCTCGCCACTCACTTCCTCTCTTGGCATCATGGCGTCTGTAAATAAAGATTGTTAACACCAACGCGGCTTCTCGTCATTGTTTGTCAATCCACCTCACATATATATATATATAATACACGTATATAGAAAGTGTTACAAATTCGGCGCCTTTTTTTTGCTCTTTTCGCTCCCCCTACAACCAAAACCTGGATACGCCTCTGGTTGTATGCTTAAATCATGTCAATGAAATAAAAGATGAAAAATTTGAAACTATGAAGAAGTTTGGAAATTATTCCATGGCGTTGGATGCTCAGAATAATAGCAAGTAGGCCTAGTTATTAACATAGACCTAGATCTAAGAATAATATTACTAAAGATTCAGATTGATGATTTATAGGTCTAATAAATATATGCCCAATAATTTTACACTGAACAGCTACATTTGTATTTCACAAAGTGCTTCGTCAGCTTGTTGCATAATCACTGTACAGGCCATCATTCACTCAGTGTTATCTCTACCCTATTCCCACCCCCACAACACGAATAAACTCTCTTAAACAGATGAATCAAAAACAAGGCAATGAAAATATAAAATGAACTTTATTGAAATGAATGATGCAAGTAAAACTAGGTCTGTATGCATAGAGTAAAGACTGCAGGCAAACTTCAGATGACCATTTTTGGGAAAGTGAAGCTAATAAAAGCCAGACCAACAAAGCCTTAAAGTAGTGACACACATAAAAACCCAAACCTGAGAATACATCAAGGGTTTCAACAGAGTGTTTAAAAATAAATACAATGTTATTATTTAGGTTTTCATGATGGATAAATAAGACCTCCATTACATTTAATAAAATATTCAACTTCAATTAGTGAAAAAAAAAGCATGTTATTCTGCTTGTGATATGGGCTATAATAAGATTATCTGCAGCTGAAGCTAATTATGTAACCACACTAACTGATCACAACCATAGAAAGTATAAACTACGCAGGACACTTACAAATGAGATAAAAGTAATGGCCTGATCAAGCAGCCCTTCTGTTATATTTGTAATTCACACTGACAATAGCACAGGACAAAAAAGGATCAAAGTGCTAAACTATGTACATTTTTTTAAAACCATTTTGATTAGGTAAAAATAATGCAATGGCCTAGTAACACTAAAAATTTGGTCTAAAATTGGCAACCTGGCATGTAAACAAGTTGACCAGGTAAATGATATGTTTGTGAAGCCCATCAGGATATAATTACATATCTAAAACTTTAAATAATATGTTAGTAAATTTTCTAGAAATATGTGTTTTTATAATATGATTCAAAGAGCATTTCTCAACACGCCAAGTTATTTGTGTGTGTGGGTTTATAACCAATCCAAATAAACCTAGATGATACTGTAACATTGATTTTGATAACTCTAAAACTTGTACAAAATTATCAACTGTTTTTTTTTAACCCTTGAAATAAATATAATTATATATAATGCCTATTCCATTTTCAGTAAACGTCACATTATTTAGGTAAATTTCCTTTAAAACAATTAAAACTGGAGAATTCTGATTCCCCAAAAAGTTTCTCAGACCAGATATCAGTGGTTGAGAAAGAACACAACTAAACCCTCTAATACACACTTTAAAAATTAACCCTGTATTTCCAAACTTTTTTTTTTTATTTTTAGTTTAATTTTGTTGATAACCTCTCTGCTAAATACATAAAACTTGTTCAAAATATTTGTTGTACAATATACATTTATAGTGTAGTACTCAGAGGATTAGACATTTATGCAGTATATTAAAACAATACTTATCACCTGACTTACTCAGGCCACTATTCCAATTGTCACAGTGGAAAAATAAAGTTTAATAATAATTTTTTATTATTCAATATAAACTCTTCCAACAAATGCGTTGTTTTAGCAAGCTCAGCAAGTATGTTCTGAGCAGTATAAACTTTGAACTCTACAATCATGTATAACAATATTTGTTCAATTTTTTTTCACTCATTAATTAGTACATTTTAAATTGCACTGTAAAAGTTTTACTACTATTATTTAAAACTCTGAATGACGCTGCCTGAATGGAATACTTGAAATAAAAATTTTGACCAACACATTTGGTATTTTAAATGTTGGAAGACAAAATTGTAGAATATGCTAAAAAAAGTTTACAAATGCAATCAACATCTGAGATCCTCTGGTACCAATGGTTCAAAGAATTTTTTTACTTAGAAAAAACACACTTAGTACAAAAATATCATACACATTACAAGAACACTGAAACAGGCAATTGGTTACCTAACAGCTGTAGCTGTTGAGCAATAGCTATGGCTGAATGTCAACAACAGCTGTAGCTGGTAAATAAGACAGCTTCACCACTGGATGAATGTTTACAACTGGATTATCAAACTTTCTCTTGTTGCAATGAAGTCAATGATTCTTTGGTGTAGTTAATTTCAGCAAATTCACTTTAAAAAATCATATTATTATGGTAAAAAAAACCATCAAGCTTCTAATAGTTCAAAATTTAATTAAAAGGAGTGCTAAAAATCAAGTACATGTGAGTTTGTTGTGTAGTAATCTAGTAAACTAAAGTGTAACCACAAACTATACACCCAAAAAATTATTAAAATTTTACAAAATAAAGACATTGAAATGTTTAAATTAAAATAAGTAACATGAAAAAATTCTATTTTGTTTTTTCTTCCCAATAAACCCCAGTGTTTAGAGTAAACATTTTTATAAGGACTGAGTGAGAGAAATAAGGACACCCTCGTGTGAACAATCACAATCTCAGTGCATGGCTGAACAAAATATCAATAGCTTAACAATAAAACCCTTGCTTGTCTACTGGTACAAAAATCTGTTTTCAGTTATCACATCTGTTTGGTCATCAAGTCTGGAAACAAGGGCCACAAATTATAGAAAAATAAAACAAATAATAACTACTGACCCTCTCATCCCCCCCCCCTCCCTCTCAATGTCATTGTTCAACTATTATTGGTAAACTTGAAATTAATGCATCTTTAAATTATTTCAAAGCAATAAAAACAAAATGTGAAAAGGAATTACATTCTCACAGATGTAGCTAATCTTTTAGTGTTAGGTGATACCACCTAAAAAATTATCTTTGTAAAATGTAAAAAAAATTACTATACTAATTCAATCCAAAACTGAAACTGTTGAATATCAATAAACAATCAACATCTAGTAGAGGAAACATAATGTTATTATATTAATAGTTATAAAAGTAGAATTCGTATTTCTTGGTAGGCCTAGGTTATATTTTGTTATCTTAACATAGCAAGTTGTGAATTCTTATTTCTAGGCCTGTATAGAAGTTGGTTCATAATATAAATAAATAACATTTTTTAAAATAGAGAACATAATACTTGCACAGCATTGATATATTAAAGACAGCTGAGAAGAAATATTGGTATACAATATTCAGATGTAGAAACACCCTGACGTTACATGAGATAACGGAGAGAAACAGAACCAGATACCAGTCAGGACACAAATATAAGTGAATGCATAGGTGTAGGTATTGGAAGAAGATAGACAGGTAACTTGTTGCTAGACTTAACTTGGGTTGCAGAACTTAACATGGGACATTGAGCTTGACTTAGGATGCTTGACTTAACTTGATAAACTGGATGTAAGTCAGTCTATTATTTTTTTTTAGAACATGCTAAACATTTTATTACACCATGAAATAGCTTGAATCAAAAACAATTAGTGTAAAATAATTGTCATAAAGAATAATTGAAGTCAGCTCCTTTAAAATATTTTGAATTTCCTGGACAGAATACTTAAAAATTTTATCTGAGACGAAAGAAATCTAACTAGTGTAAAAAGAAGCCAATGGAATTCTTATGTAGTGTGGTGACCAGCCAATTCTATTGTAGTAAAGAGCCAGTTCTAAGAATCAGAACTGTATACAACACCATGTGTGCTACTTTTAAACAATTTTATGTTACTTAACCATGGCTGAATATCTATATGAGCACAACAAGAAAAAGTAACAATCAAGGAAAAAGTTCGACAGTGTCCAGTTGACATCTTGAGCAGGGTGTGTAGAACAACTGATATTTTTTTTACATGACCGTCTATAGGGAAAAGTGTGAAATGATCACACATATACAGCAGGAAAATATAGATAGATAAAAAGTTCAATAGAAAGGCAAAATAAATGAAATAATTTTGTTAAAAACTTTTCTTGTGTTTACAAATTGGCATTAATTTTCAAAATAAATGAAAATATTTGTCGTACAACTGTAACTATATACAATGTGAGCCATACATGAGTTCATAAACTTAACGTATAATTTGACTTGCCAAGCTAGCATCAGGATTCACTAGCCTGCTGGGTGTTCAGTGGCCAATCAAAGAGAAATGTTACAATTTGATGTCTATAATTAGATGTGTTGAATGGAGGGGGACAGGTTGTGTTGGTGGAGGGGGACAGGTTGCGGAGGGGGACACGCTGTGATGGTTGAGGAGGACAGGTTGTGGAGGGGGACACGCTGTGATGGTTGAGGGGGACAGGTTGTGGAGGGGGACACGCTGTGATGGTTGAGGGGGACAGGTTGTGGAGGGGGACACGCTGTGATGGTTGTTGCCGCGATGATGAAATGCAAAAGACGTAGGCACTTCTGTGTTTACTCATGATGGAATGTACTTCTGTACTGATTGGGAAATAAAACATTGAACTGGTTTTTGTCAAGCTGACACAGACATACACCTTGTGTTAAACCCCAGGAAATTTGTCAGAAAAGATTCAGCAAGATATAGGCAAGGGTCAAAGTTCACATCATAAGTTAACTAACTCATAAACCAATCAACTAGTGAACAGAAGAAACAATCACACACAAACTTTGTTTCACATCAAAAACCAAGATTTTTTTACATGTGCATGCTTCATTCTGTAGATATTTGCAATATAACTTCCATAAAATCAGAGAGGTGATAAAATTTACAAACAATCACACCAGAAACTATATACATTCATTTAAAAACTACTCCACAAAAAACTGTTTTCTTGGAAGAATCATACACATTCAAGTCTTATAACAATCATTATCTTGTAACAAAATAATTCAATCGTAATTCAATAAATTTACATACATATGTCTTGTAAACATCAGCAGTCTCATACAAGTTATGTTAAATACAATTCAGCTCGAGGCATTCAACTCACTTGAAACTTGTTCTCAAATACTTGAAAAATAACTTTCATCAAGGGGAAACAAATCATGCACTAGATCATTGAAACATTTCCAAACATCAATTACTCATTTTATAATGAAGCTGTAATTTATAAAAACAGCAAAGCATTGGTTTTTTTTTTTTACATTAAACAACTTGCTAGTAAAATCCACAAAAGCAAAACATGAAATATTGTACAAATCATTTTGTTAAAATCGTTGAGCAAAAGTGTGAAATATTTTAAATTACAATATAAGTTCTTGATAACTTTATTTCACAATAAGCAATACCTCTAATCACGTCTAATTGCTTTTAGTTATTAAAAAAAATTCATTTCAAAACATTTTTATCTTCTAATCTTTTCCACACTTTATACTAAATACATTTTAATGCAAATATTATTTATTTGTTCAAGAATATTAACTGAAAGTAGAAGCAGTACAGGATACTTGTAAGTAGTATCATCAGCTTCAGTCTTTTAAGTTTGGTCTAATTATAAATATTTCATGCATGTAAAAAAACAAATTGACTACAGCACCGGCAGATAAAGACCTTAAACCACATACTGTAAGCTAGACTAACTATAAATACTATGATATAAAAATTGTACAAAGTTCAAAATTTTTAAAATGGTAATTAAATATTGAATGCATTGAATGGCTAGTTAATTTGGTGAAGGAGTGCTATAACATTGTGCTTTCACCATTCTGGTTCTCATAGCCCACATTGATGATTATGTCCTGGTTATTAGCAGGGTGGAGCAGTGAGTCTCTAGCGGGGTCAGAGAATGACGTCTCCCTCTGTGTCTGCTGGTTAACATACAAAAATGCATTTTTTACAGGCATGGGTTAAAAAAAATTAATTAAAATAATTATTTTAAAAAAGAAGACGTTTCCTAAAAACAAGTATTCTTTCAAATTACCTGTGTTATATATTCATTGTCATCTGGGTCAGAATCTAGGACATCGTCCAGTGAGTTTTGTATCTCTTCTGAATTTGGATTCCCTTGATGGAGGTTCTCTAGACGCTGGAAGATCTCAGCCAGATCAACCTAGCACAAACAACACACAGGTGAGAACACAGGTAACAAGACAAAATGATTAATTTAACAATCTGGATCGAAGCTGCCTTCATCAAAAAATCACAAAGTGTCATTTCAATGATTTATCAATCAGAACCGAAGCTGCCTTCATCAAAAAATCACAAAGTGTCATTTCAATGATTTATCAATCAGGACCGAAGCTGCCTTCATCAAAAAATCACAAAGTGTCGTTTCAATGATTTATCAATCAGGACCGAAGCTGCCTTCATCAAAAAATCACAAAGTGTCGTTTCAATGATTTATCAATCAGGATCGAAGCTGCCTTCATAAAAAAATCACAAAGTGTCATTTCAATGATTTATCAAACAGGACCGAAGCTGCCTTCATCAAAAAATCACAAAGTGTCATTTCAATGATTTATCAATCAGGACCGAAGCTGCCTTCATCAAAAAATCACAAAGTGTCGTTTCAATGATTTATCAATCAGGACCGAAGCTGCCTTCATCAAAAAATCACAAAGTGTCGTTTCAATGATTTATCAATCAGGACCGAAGCTGCCTTCATCAAAAAATCACAAAGTGTCGTTTCAATGATTTATCAATCAGGACCGAAGCTGCCTTCATCAAAAAAAAAAAGAATTTCAATGAGTACCTTCTTGTCTGACACAGGGGGCCAGGATGGATCTTTCTCAAACTCTGATTCTATTTTATGATAGGCCAGATCCTGTGAGGGCAGGCAACCTTTCAGACAGTTGGCCAACTTGTCTCGCAAAATCTCATTGTCAATCAGGAATTTCTAAAATAGAAATAAAATTTAAAAATTCAGCGTGGCTGTAGTTTTACATACTTACATTAATAGAAAAATATATTTTAACTATGGCTGGAGTCAAACTAAACAGGTGTTTTGTGTTTCTTTACAAAGAAAACAAACATGGTTAGTTTGACATTTTTAAATAAACATTGGAGTCTTGTGAGCTCACCTCAACCACATAGGACAAGACAAACTGTATAAACGCCATGCCAATAAACTCACCTCGACCACGTATGACAAGACAAACTGTATAAAGGCTATGCCAATAAACTCACCTCAACCACGTATGACAAGACAAACTGTATAAAGGCTATGCCAATGAAAAATGCTCTGTACTTGATTGAAGGGATGAGCTTGAGCTGTAAACATTCAAAGTTCAAAGGTCACTTTCTAGCATCAAAACAGCTTGCACATGACACACATTCACCTTATCCTCAGCTGAAGAGGGGGAATAACCTGTTATGACTATAACTGTTTGGTATTATTAGAATAATATGTTTGAGTTTAAAGGAGATTTATAAAGTAATTTTTCATGAACAGATTTCAATAAATGAAAGAACAAATGTTTGACATTAACATTATCTTAAAAACATAATTGTTTAAAGCTGTCACATATCAAGTTTAGAAAGATTTTATACCAATGGCCCAGTTAAAGTAGAGCCTCTGGGTAAGATAAATTAGAAAATAATTCTACTAGCATGTTTCCAGCTTCAATTAATTAAGGTAAACAATGAATTAAAGTCCCTATTGAAACTGCTGATCTGCAAAACCTGTCTGTTTGCATGATGATAGATTCATATATTGTAATGAGGAAGTTTGTAGGATAAAGGATAACTAAATTACATCACTAAGCACAGTCTATAACTATAGGTATATGTTGTTTTAATTCTGCTGGGAAAAAAATGTGTAAAAAATTCCCCTGAAATCTTCATGCTGCATAAAACTCTTCTGAAATATCATCCTTACTGCAGATGTTTTGAACCTGGAACATGATCAAGCTATGAGTTTGAACCAATGAGATAAAACTGTAATTCTGCAGACAAATTGCAGTATGGCTGGTAAGTCTAAGGAGAGGAGAAGAGGGGAATAAAGATAGCAGATTGGGGCAGATAAAACTGTTGGAGCAGACCTCACAGCTCTCTTAAAGGTATCTGCTGATATAGCTTGTGTTTGTGTGAATGAAGAACAAACACTGACATGCATAGAAGTCATCTAGTAAGTCAAAGCACATGGTAAAGTATGTTAGAATTGGTAAACATGTATTAATTATGTGATAATACTTTTTTTTAAACTAATCATCCAGCAAATAGTTTAAAGGGCAATAAAAACACAGATCTATATGGTCGCAGATCATAAATAAAAATTCCTTAAAAAATTAATAAAGTGTTATTTTTTTTTTAAATACTGTAGTTGCTGTTAAGGTCTATTTGACAATTAACTGGGTTCAGCGAGGAAGAAATGAGTCTAAGACTTAGTTAGTTGGAATCAGTGATGATTTAGACTGGGTCTTAATTAAATGGGGTCAAAGATGAAGGAATTAAACTGGGGCTTAATTAATTGGTCAGTGATGAAGCGATTAGATGGGGACTTAATAAAGTGGGTTCAATGAAAAAGGAAGACGTCTTACCTGCATGAGATCGGCAAGTCCTTCTGTGGGGTACATTGTGATCCAGACAGCTCCAGCCAGAGTGACAGCAAAGTTAGCCAGCAACCACCCTGAAAGAGAAAACATAGGCATATACAAACTGTACACAATACTATCAATGACAGTAAACTTTCATGAGTTTTGTTTTCACTGTCCTGACAAGTCTCATTCATTCACAAACATTTAATCTTTTTTTTTTTTCACACACCCCTCAGTCAAACAAAATCATCTATACAAAAAAAGGCGAAAAAGTTGTTTAAACTATGAACTTTTAATCTTTATTGTCCACACAATCACAAGGCTAACAATCTCTTCAGACTTACTCATGGTTCACAGAGTACCTACAATTCAAACGTCAGGAACAGGCAGTACTTCTTTTTTCACAGAAGATGCTGCCTCAAGGTGCTACATGGCTTTTTATTTCACCTTTAACTCAGCTTTTGCAAAAAAGGCACCTGGTGTGTTTAAATGGTCGCCGCTAGGAGTTGGAACTTCGTTTGTAGCGACTTGTGCTTATTGACTGCATCCAGACAGCCCCATGCTGCTTTAGAACCTCTCTGACATGTACACATCAGCACAGCCTCTCAGGCTCTGCTCCCTAAAATTGTCATTTGCACTACTAAATATTGTCCACTGTGGTTATACAAACACCCTATGCCTAAAATGGACATTCCAAATTTTGGAGTGTATGTAATGCACACATAAGAACTGGCTTCCTTTCATGCTCAAGATATTAAAAAAATCATAAATAAACCAAGCTGGTGAGTCTAGAAGAATATAGACCTGAGTAGGTGCCTCCAGCAAGCTGTGTTCTTGTGTCCTCAGAAATGTTTTTCTTTATGCCTTATGTACATTGGCCAGATCAAATTTTACATCTCACACCATAACAATGGGTTTTCTTGGGTTTTTTTTTTACACATTACAAAGTTGATATATTAATATGTACAATTTGTAAAATCACAATTGTAAAATAAATTTAAAATATTTTTTAGGAACAATGGTATATTCAATAATATATTTGTTTAGAAGTGCTAACCACTTATGCAGCTGTTAAAGGCATTCATTTTGTTTTGAATCAAAATGGATAAAGAAAAAAATCACCAGGAATGACCTGTCTGAGGTGGACTAATCCACATTTGCTGGGGTTCAAGGATTTACTGCCTGAACTGCTCCACCATTTTACTTGGGTAGGAAAATAATCTGGACCAGTCCACTTTTGATGGAATAGTAGAATTAACTGTCTGGACCAGTCCACTTTTTATAGTGTAGTAGAATGTACTGTCTAGATAGGTTAATCATTTTTACTAAAGTAGAAAAGTATAGTCTGGACTAGTCCACTTTTGTTGGGGTAGAAGGATTTACTGTCTGGAATGGTTAATCATTTTTTCTGGGTTAGAAAAGTCATTTGTTTGGACTAGTCCATTTTGGCTGAGCTAGATGTGGAATTTGTGCCTGGCTAGTCAGTAGCAATCAAACTGAAGCCAGGCCATTTAATTAATTTAAAACACCAATGTCACTTATCAAAGGTCAAGGACAGTGATATTCCCTTTTACCACCTACTCAGGTTAATTCTAATAACGAACTGAGAAAAACCATCCAAGTGTGCAATGTTTTACAACACATCCTCATTTTGAATAAAAAAAATTATATTTTTAACCCATTAACACCCATAATGCAACTGTCCCAATATAAAATTTTGATTTTATGAGTACAATTGAACAGTTAAATGTTTATTCTAGATCAGATTCGTACTCTGAATCTTACTCAAAAATCACTATTTTATGTGGTTTTATATGGTAATTAAAGGGTTAACATTAACACTATTTTTAATAGAGCAAGATGGTTTTCATACTATTTTTGTTCTGTGTAAGGACATGTCAAGACTTACCTGCTACATTAGCCACAGCCATTGCTGCTGGACTATCTTTTTTATTTATAGAACTAACAATACAAATAGACCACTTAAATTGTGCATTTTTTTGCTAATAGCCAAAAAAACAAAACAAAAAAACAGCTTTACTCTAAATTTGCCAGCTTCAATAATAAATAAATGTTCAAAAACTTAAGAAAATTGAATCAAAATTGCATTCTTTATTACGCAACTTTCTTTTTAAATTACCATAACAATGGCTGTGCTTGAATGGATTAAGAGTTGCAATCTAGTTATTTTTTTCTAATTCTAACTTTATTCTGTAAAGCATAATCTGATTAAAAAACTACTTACAATTGCTAAAAATAGATTTCCTGTATGGCGCTCCTTTAGCAAAAGTTATAGCCAGGATTATGTACTGATAGGCAGACATCAGAAAAACGGCAGCGTTCTCATAACAAGTGTAGTCATCATCCTCATTGTCTTTGAAGGGCACAAACCTGTTGATAAATCATTGTAATTTATGCAACAAACAAGTTTTATGACACACAAAGCTACTAGTTTGATCTATAAAAGCACTGACTTTTTATGATTATCTCAATATAATAATGAATAAGCAATATATTTAATTAGGTTTTCTTTTAAAATCCTTTTTTTCAATTTTTTTTAAAAATAACTCCTCTTCTTATAGTTACTTCCAAGACTTTAAACTTTTGGGAATCGGGAAACAGCAAAATATGGAGCTATCTTTTATTTTTAATTGGTAATTTTGGAAAACAACAAAGGTCACATTATTGTTTCTTGCATTTGTAAATTAGAAGTTTTGTATAACTGGATACTTCTACTTTCATATCCTTCTATTTATAGCCTAAACTTCAATGTGGCATCTACTGTCTCACTCACTTACTGTCAATTACAGAAACAAAATTTCTATATGTTTACCAGGAAATTTACAAGCAAACTATTTCAACATTCTAAACATTGCCTTTTCTAGTTGATACATTACTGACAATGCTATGACAAAGCTTAAGACTAAATAAAGTTCATTTATCTCTGTGCCAGTTGGTCATTTGCTCTATTAGCTAACATTGCCCAAAACTACTTACTTGAAGTTATCAAAGTTTGCTGCTATTTTAAAAAATATTAGGGTTTTTTTTGTAAAATCACAATATAGTGTCGGAAATTATCTGGTAATGATTGTTGAGTTTGGGTAACATTCGTTACTGTAAACCATAGTTTATTTGACCGTTGAAATAAGAATTAAATTAATGTTTTAACTTAATTTAATGTTTAATTGACAGAAAATTAGCAACAACTAGTAAATCTAAATATTATTAATAAAGTCGAGTGAAGAAATTAATGTTATTTTAAGAAACACAGAAAAAAACCTGCAGATGATTTGCAGCAACTAGCTCTAGTTCTGCCAGTAAAATAAGACGATTAGATTTACTAAAGTTAAAATTAGTAAGAATTAGAACAATGTTTAGAAGCAGCAATAATTAGCACATACACTTAAAAATACTTAAAATAATTGGAAAAACAAAATAATTAGCAAAACAGTATTTAAAATGCAACTAAAATCAATCCTTGCACATTTTTTAACATTATGTATTAAAAATAATATGGCGGCAAATAAATGATGGTTAACAGTATTTCCTGTGGTTTCCGGAATCGCTCGACAGACTACACCATGGTTTTACTGTTTTTTACTGCTGTACAGTTCTGGAACAATAACCAACGCTATATTGTGATTTTACCTTTTTTTTTACACAGCAAAAAAAGCAAATGATGATGAATGTGTAAACTATTTATAATTTGTGGTGAACAATGTTAACAGTGACTAAACACACAATTTGCAGACATGTACAGTCTAGTTACCCAAACATACCAGGGTTGTTCTTTAATATAAAAATACATAAACGTCTGAGCAGCAATGACAAGAAGCATCTGAGAAACAATGCCCATAATAGGGCTGAGACTGAGCAGGCTGACAAGTGGTCTCTCTCTCACAAGTTCATCATAGGGGGCTGTTCTGCTGACTGAAAGTTAGGGGGAAAAAGTTTGGCTTAAACAATAGTAATATCATTAAATTCCTTTACTACAATTTGTTTCTTCATGTGTAAATGGTAATCTTGCAATGTCTGTGTTATCTTTTTTCTTGTACACTGATTATTAGGATTTTATTGCCACAAACTAAGTCTTGCCCAATGTTATTAAAACTGCTTTTTCAAAATTAAATCATTTAAATAGTAAGGGATAATGAACTAATCTTACATGTGATACTGAAGGTTGAGATAATAAACAAATCCGTGAACAGAAACTCAGCATCTGTCAAGTTAGCACCAATCTAGTTCAGAAAATCAAAAACAAAATAGTATAAAGTTTATTTTCAAAAAGTAAATGAAATAATCGGTCTAATAATTTTAAAAATAAACGGCAATAATTTAGAGAAGTAATAAATTAGGAAACACCAATTTATTGTTAGATCTAAATATTTTAAAGCTTGCCTGAACTAAGCAAACACCATTTTATTGTTAGATCAAAAGCTTGGCTGAACTAAGCTAACACCATTTTATTGTTAGATCAAACGCTTGGTTGAACTAGGCAAACACCAATTTATTGTTAGATCAAAAGTTTGGCCTATTTTTTTTTAAACTCACCCAATACAAGATGAGTACAGATGTAAACTGGGTCAAGCTGTAGCAGGCAATGTATTTGAACACACCAAATGAGGTGACCAGGGCAGCTCTGCCTTCTCTGGATAAAAAGTAATTTAGTCAAGAAAAGTGGTAAACAATGAAATTCTGTATTTATTTTTATATGAGGTAGAGAACAGAATTCAGTCATCGGTTTTAGGTACACTTGGGTTGTTAACTTACTTGATAACATTGGGTACACATTCTATGGTTGGAGTTTTGGATGTGAATGGAGATGCCACAGAGGCTTCAGCTTCAGACAGGGAGATTCCCATGTGTGCAGTTTTTAAAGCACCACAATCATTGGCACCATCACCGCACATACCAACATAATAACTAGAGAAGAAAATCAGACAATTCTCAAGCTACATTCAGAAATTCATGCAGTATAGTACCTATACTGCCCAGTATAGTACCTATACTGCCCAGTATAGTACCTATACTGCCCAGTATAGTACCTATACTGCCCAGTATAGTACCTATACTGCCCAGTATAGTACCTATACTGCCCAGTATAGTACCTATACTGGGCAGTATAGTACCTATACTGCCCAGTATAGTACCTATACTGCCCAGTATAGTACCTATACTGCCCAGTATAGTACCTATACTGGGCAGTATAGTACCTATACTGCCCAGTATAGTACCTATACTGCCCAGTATAGTACCTATACTGGGCAGTATAGTACCTATACTGCCCAGTATAGTACCTATACTGCCCAGTATAGTACCTATACTGCCCAGTATAGTACCTATACTGCCCAGTATAGTACCTATACTGGGCAGTATAGTACCTATACTGCCCAGTATAGTACCTATACTGCCCAGTATTTTTTAAGTTTTTTCTACACAATGTGTATATTTTAAAGTCTCTTGATAAACATTTAATACTTTGCATTGTCACTAAATTTATAACCCAAAATTTAAAAATATCAACATGGTAAAAATCGTTTCAACATTTTTAATTTTATAAACTTGAGATGTTTAGCACATGGATTGAAAGTTTGGTGCAAGCTTTTTAATTTTAAATACATATTTAATAAAATATAGTTCAGAAAAGCAGCTAAAATCTGACCCCACCCATAAATAGGGAATCGTCCAAAAACATGGAACTGCCCAACAGTTTGACTCTGCCCAAATAACTTACCCAACATCCTGCAAAACTTCAACCAGCTGTCCCTTCTGATCTGGGCCCATCCTGGCAAACACAGCGCCTCTGACGACAATTTTTTTCAGCAGATCTGGACAGTGTTGACGGATAACTCCCCATGTCTTTCCTGTCAGGGCAAAGTGAAACCTCTGGCTGTCTTCATCAATCTGAATTCTTTTGTTTTCCTGTTGGGTGGGGAAAAAACAAATGGGATTTTCTATCATTTAATTCAAGTTTCCGTTCCTTGCTTCTAAAAAATTAAGACTTTTCAGGTCAGTTAATGTATCCTGTATAATTGAGGCCCTGAATCGTAATGGGACTATTTAAACATTTAATTAAAGCAAAATCTGAATACACAACACGAGAAACGTTTCTAATTGCTCTTAAACTAAACATGCATTGCCTGAAACAGCATGATGTTGAAGGACACTGTTGAAGGAGTGGGGAAGAGGTGGGGAGGGGAATGGAGGTTTTAGGTCCAGGTGAAAAAATGCTTCCTGAAGCTGATCACATTAAATAAACCACAACCATCTCAGATAGCTACACCTACTTCTAAAGCTGATCACATTAAATAAACCACAACCATCTCAGATAGCTACACCTACTTCTAAAGCTGATCACATTAAATAAACCACAACCATCTCAGATAGCTACACCTACTTCTAAAGCTGATCACATTAAATAAACCACAACCATCTCAGATAGCTACACCTACTTCTAAAGCTGATCACATTAAATAAACCACAACCATCTCAGATAGCTACACCTACTTCTAAAGCTGATCACATTAAATAAACCACAACCATCTCAGATAGCTACACCTACTTCTAAAGCTGATCACATTAAATAAACCACAACCATCTCAGATAGCTACACCTACTTCTAAAGCTGATCACATTAAATAAACCACAACCATCTCAGATAGCTACACCTACTTCTAAAGCTGATCACATTAAATAAACCACAACCATCTCAGATAGCTACACCTACTTCTAAAGCTGATCACATTAAATAAACCACAACCATCTCAGATAGCTACACCTACTTCTAAAGCTGATCACATTAAATAAACCACAACCATCTCAGATAGCTACACCTACTTCTAAAGCTGATCACATTAAATAAACCACAACCATCTCAGATAGCTACACCTATTTGAAAAACACTCAAACGCTTATGGAAAGAGCAAGCAAACATCCCAGCTTACCATGGCGATAACTTCCTCAACCTTGGCATTACTGTCATCAGCGTAGACAAACTCCAGGGTCACGTCAGACTGGACAGAGGTGGGGGGGTACGCCTGAACTAGGATGATGCGGTCAGTCTTGTCCACCATCTTACACTCTCTGGCCACACTCAGGGCTGTCAGCATGTTGTCACCTGTGCAATACAAAACATTAGCTTTACCAGGCTGGGGGTCAAGGTTAGGGCTGGGGTCAAGGTTTTGGCCAGGTTCAAGGCTAGGGCTGGGGTCAAGGTTAGGGCTGGGGTCAATGTTAGGTCATGGAAAGTATCCCCTCATATGCTGAGGTCAATGAAAAAAGGTGAAATCTACTTCACCTTCCCCATGGGCATAAGGTTCAAAAAGGTACTTTTTACTTTCTCGTAAATACGAAGTATAGAGAAAGTATTGTTCGACGTTTTACACCTCACTGATATGGAAAAACATAATTTTGCAATCTTGTCTGTATGTCTGTGTGTGTGTGTCTGTGTGTAAACACGATTACTTGAGTACCGTTACAGCTAGGTTGATGAAATTTCATATATAAGTATTTTATCAAAATCGTAGATCCGTATCAACTTTTGAGCGATTTCCGATAACCGGAAGTGGTACTTTTTCTACTTTGAATTTTTCAAAAGCCTATAACTTGAGTACTATTTCAGATAGATAAATGAAATTTCACATGTAAGTAAAAGATCTAATACTCTACCTTCTGTCAAATTTTGAGTAATTTTCCGTTGACCGGGAAGTAGTAATTTACGCTACTTCCGATTTCTCAAAAAACGCATGTAAATTTATAAAGTACTAATAATATTGCGCACTATTATGCACATTTTATTAGGCGTTCACTTAGTGTGCAATTCTTTTTTTTTTTTTACGAGATTCCATTCTATTATAAAAAGTTTAAGTAATTAAAAATGGATTACAAATATTGTCTATGTCCTGAGTTGCCATCCCTCGTAGTTTTATATTAGAATGTCCGAGAAAGTTTAGGGGAGATCACTCCCGGTTTATTTACCTAGCAGAGCAAAAGGCAGTGAGGCCTAAGTTTGAGTTAAGTCCAAGTTTAAGGGATAGTGATAAGTGTTGGGGGATTAGTTACAGTTAGGGCAACAGATCCAGCAATAGAGAAGGGGATAATGTCTAGCAATGTAGATGGGGATATGAAATGGACGGGATCAAAACATATTGATAGAACTAGTAATACTTTAGAATAAAATGATCTAATTAATTATTACTGGTTTGTTTGTCCTAGCATATAAATTTTTAACACGTCAAACAAAACCTCTAACACTAGTCTTCAAACAAATAACAGGCCAGCAATAAAAAAAAAAATTCATTCTATCACTTAGACTCACCAGTGACCATTATGGTGCGAATATCAGCTTCATTCAGTTCACAAATCACTGGTGCAGACTGCGGCTTTAGACGGTTCTCCATAATCAACAACCCTAAGAAGATCAGTTCATTTTCCAACTGCTCTCTACAAGAATTCAAAACACTTTAAGTACAGTTTTGTCTTTTCAAAACCTTTAAGAAACAATAGTGTAGAAAAATTTATACAACAAATGACCCTTACAAATTCTACAACCATCTAAACAATCAACTTGTTTGATTTATTTATCATCTTCTGTTTCATTATTTTCAATCATGGTGGGTTGTGTCAACTTACCTGCTAACTCTTTGGACTTTAACATAATTCAGCTTAGTTGGAAGCTGCTTCCAAGCAAGTGCAATAACTCTGTATCCATGCTGTGTGTATGACAGCAAAACTTGATGGAAATCAAATGGGACTAGAGAAAGAAAATATTGTCGTAACCTTTACTAAATGTTAAACTCAAAGCTACCTAAGCCTTTAAGAAATAATTATTAAAAATATAACTAAAATTTGCGACCTTGCGATAATTTTTGTAAACTATTTTTAAAATATTTTAAAAGGAAGGTACTAATCACTTTAGTTCAAAACGGAAAAAAAATATTTTTGAACTGAATTTTTCTTTTCTCACATCTCAAATTTAATAATTATGCTAATGCACACAAAACAGAAGTTCACCATTGAAGCAGACTTTTTTTCAAAAACAAATTAGAATAAGAAAATGAAATTTTAACAAAACCAAACATAAGCTAGCATTAAAAGCTCGTGATATTGTGTTTTTTAAACCTACTTGTTTCAGGTTTAGATAAGCTGGATATCATCTCTGGGGATCCCTTGACATACAGGTCAAAGTTGCTTGCACCAAGGGTTCTTGTGATCACAGACATTCTTTGAAGCGAGGACGAGAAGGGGAACTGTCTCACAATACCCACATCACCACCAGCCAGCTGATGAAACAATCATGGAAATACAATAACTAACTGTTTAAAAAATGACATTTTTTAAATGGGCTAACTGAAACCAAGTTAAAAACAACTGGAAAAAAATTTGGTCAAGGTGATACATACTGCATCATCTGACAAGCGTTTGGAGAAAGCTGCTGGTGTTGGCCGCACAATGGTGGGTGTCATCATGTCAAACCTGGTCTCATCTGGGCCTGGTTCCTCAAGTTGCTGGCAGAGGAAATAGTTGATTTCATCAAACTTACTATTTCATCTCATGCTGTTGTTAGCGGTAATTAATTGCGGTAATTAATTATTTCATCAAACTTGCAGGTTTAGTATATATTTACTAGTTCATCTAATGCTGTTGTTAGCGAAAATTATTTATTTCATCAAACTTGTAGGTTTAGTATATGATATTTACTATTTCATCTAATGCTGTCGTGGGCAGAAATTATTTATTTCAGGTTTAGTCTATAATATTTACTACTTTATCTGATGCTGTTGTTAGTTTGATTACAATTTGCAATTCTATCTGAAAATATTTACTGTTTCATCTGAAGCTATTCATAGTGGAAATACTTGATTAAAAATTTGCAATTCTGTTCTGTATTACCAGTAACTATTTCATTTGATGCAGTTGTAAGTGGAAATAATTCATTACAATATCTTATAATATTTTTAGTATTTCCAAAAAGAAATGGCCATGGTTCTTTAGCTTTTTCAATGGTCATAATTAGTAAACAACACATCAGAATTTTAATAAGGTTTGTTCATACTTTAACAAATGACTCTTGATAGGTCTGAATTCTAATCTTAAATTGAACTTACAAAAAAAACTATTTCTAATTAAATAGCAATAAAACAAATTCCATCTTGCAGAACCTTACCCAGCCAGTGGCGTTGAACATGATCAGATCTAATGGGTCTCCCATAATTTCCCTCTCAATAATGGTCAGGGAGTGGCAGGTGGCCATTGCTGTCAGGAGTGGGCCATGGGTCAGCTGGGTCATGTCTTTAATCAGCGGGTCAAACCTGGGTCAGAGGATTATAGTTTACAACCATTAGGATAAGTGAAATCTTTCTGTCCTTTAGCTTTACCATCTAAGTGTATTTTAAAAAGGAGCCAAAATGTAGTTAAACTTACGCAGACTTCTCTACTCTGGCCACCCCATGCATGTCTAAGCCATCTTCTGTTAATGTACCAGTCTGTAAAATAAAAATCAGTTGTAAGATTTCTCAAAGATAATTCCATTTTCACTAGGCTTCTAGTTTTAAACGGTTTCTTAATATATTGTTTGGAGACAAGTAATTATTTTTTTAAACTGTTTTTCTGAAGACTCCTTTTAACAACTAAAAGGGTTCATTTTTTAGTAAATTACTGCAAAAGAAAATGAACTATTTTAAAAATGAAATGCATACAATACTCAATGAAGATAGCAACTTAGCACAGAATCCAGGCAAATAAAGAAATTAAATTATTCTTCATTTAAAAGCAAGAATACAAGTGAAATTTAATGAGTTTAAAAAACTGATAAAACTGAATTTAGCATGTGTTCTTAATTGCAATTTAAGATGAATGGGTTTTTTTCTTTATAAATTAGCAACATAAATGTGTAATTATTAAGCATTAAAATTAAGTATCCTTATTATATGCATATAAAAATCTGAACAAAATTGTTAAATTGTACTAAAAAGATTTTGAGAATCAAAATGAAAATTACACAAGGCTGTGTAATACTTAAATGTCAACAAAAATGAGTTTGAAATTGATAAAGCAAGTCTGACATTTAAGTGCCAAGAGTCCAGATTTTCAAGTGCTACATGCCGTTTATTTTTAAAATAAATAAGAAACTGGTGTTGACTCATCAGACTTACATTTGAATCTGAGACGCTAAGAAAAATCGTTTTAAGATGCTAGTTCATATCAAATGATTAATAACAAGATAAGCAACATGTTTTCTTTTGTTTATGAGATCTGACTGTGTAAACAAAAGTATTTAAACATCACAGCTTAACTTTTTTTGTTAACAGGACTGAAATTATTGAAATAGTACATCATTTATTTTTTACAAAGTTTTGCAATGTGTTACATAAAAAATTTTGCATCACATTTTCATTCAAGATTAACATCAAAAGTATTTTAACTATTTTTTTTACTGTTGAAAACCAGTGCCTGTCTGTTTTTTAATATATATTTTTTTATTATACAGATAATAATTTTTTTTTAATACTTATATATTGGTTATTGAAACTTATTGTGTCAAGATGCATTGAAAACCCCCTTCCTATTTGAAACAATGTCCCCAAACTGACCTTATCAAAACAGACGGTGTTGATGGTCCCACAAACGTTGATGCCCCGGGGGCTGATGCAGTAGACATTCTTGACCTTTAACCTTCTCTGAGAGAACACCACGCCTACAGCAAGGGCCGCGGGCAAGGCTGGTGGGACAGCAATTGTAATGAGGTCCAGAGATCTAATGATGATATCGCTGGCGTTATCTCCATTCAGAACCTGTGAGAGATGATTCAGTTGACAACTATTAAAGGAACAAATATTGAGAAGAATGGAAACATTCTTAACTTTGTTAATGGCCTTCAAAAAGAGAACACAAGTTAATCTCAGTCTATTACATTTGTTTGGGTACAAGTTAACACACTGGCAGGATGTATTCAAAGATGTATTTCGCTGTTAGTATTGCTACACATGGTTCTAGCCCTAGCCCTTAAACCCTACACCTAAACTTCTCCCAGGCACTATCAGCAATAAGAACAATAGGGATTGCGATCATAACTATGATTGTTAAGCAAATAAATGACAGCAAGTATGTGGGACATTTTCCACCCAGATATTGACATATCAGGTTTTAATCAACATATTGTGCTGTCATCTATTAACATGGATACATTTCTTAGTTAAGATGACCAACTATCAATCAAATTGATTACAAATAATAAACTTGCAATCAATATAATTAGATATCAATTTATTATGATTTACATCAACTTCTGTTTATGATAGTGATATTGAGCTTACCATCAATACAATAGTATAGACAAAACCAAGCAGTGATATTGAGCTTACCATCAATACAATAGTGTAGACAAAACCAAGTAGTGATATTGAGCTTACCATCAATACAATAGTGTAGACAAAGCCCAGTAGGGCAATGCCAGCCAAGACCAAAACAAAGTAGTAGGCGTGTCTTTGGAATTTGAAGTCTACTGGTTTGGGGAACATGATGGAACGGACCAGATCTCCTTTAGATGTTGAGAATCCTGTACATACACAAATTTACATACATATATTAAAACAAATCCTGAAAATTAAAAGAAGCAGTTGCAAATTTGAACCATAATTAATCCTCTTGAAGATTTCTGTATCTCAAGACAACAAGACCTCTTGTAGAGTTGTGGAAGTTTTTACCTGTTCTCAGGACAACAGCCTTGACCTTCTGGTTGCCATAGAACCTGGTCTGGATGATGTGGGTCCCACAGAACAGGATGTGGCGGGAATGATTCTTCATGTTGACCTCGGGGTCATTCTCCTCTTTCATCCCGGTTGTGTTGGGGAGAGGAATCTTTGTCACAGGTACACTCTCACCTGTAGAACATAGAATTTAAACAACATTCAAACATGCCATCATCTTGAATATCTGCTTTCAAAGTTACATCTAGTCTCCATTTGGTGGGTGAAATGCTATGGCCCAACAGATGTACTAGCTACAAATTGTCTTCATGAGCCTTAGCCAATGAAACAGCAGAACTCTACTTTATCTACACTTTGAGCAATCAGTTACCAAGTACTGATGTCTAAAGGCATTACCTGTCAGCATGCTCTCGTTAACAATGCAGTTGCCAGTGATGAGGACCGCATCACACTGCATGTCACAGCCGTGCCGAGGTATCTCTATCACATCACCTGGGACCAGGTCTTCTGAGTGGACGTCTTCAAACTCTGCAAATTAATTACACTAATTACAACCACAAAAACAGTTAGAACTTAATATAAAATTATATGTTTCTAGTTTTTGTCTACAAGTAGATGTACTAATAGATAAAAGGTCTTTCTTTAATCCAAAAAGTCAGAGGTCACACTAAGATGGAGGGCTGACCAAGGCAATGACTTCTGGGGGTCCTGGGTAAAGGCATGTCTGGTTAAGTGTACAGCTGAAACCTCACTTTCTTTAATTTTGTTTCTTCAAGATCTTCAGCATGCCATAAAATTGGACAATGCTACCATGTATGTCACAATACTGGGTGTAGATACCATTTTATGTCATAATACTGTACCCTATTATGTCACAATACTTGACAGCTACATTGTATGTCACAATCCTTGACCAAGCTACCATGTATGTCACAATACTTGACCAAGCTACCATGTTATGTCATAATAGCTCTCCATTATCACATAATTAGCTGACCAACTCACCTCCATTGCCTCGTAATACTGATGTAATTGTTGTTGATGTTATTGTGTTTCTCAAAGCTCTCTCAAACTAGAAAACAAAAATTCACCTTTCATTTATCCATGGCTTCAAAAAGATACAACATATAAATCATGTGTTCAACAATAGATGTGTTTACATCAGTTAATATGACAGGAGATAGCTGATACAGGACTCAGTGGGAGAGGCTTTGTGTTACTATTTATAACAAAAGTATGAGAAACAAGAGCAGTAACAGGTTGTGTAACAGAGATAAGTTGATTACCTGTCTGGTCTGGTAGATCTGTATGGCAATAGACAGGGTTGTCATGACAACGATGCAGGTGGCATAAATCCAGTAGTCATCAGAGTACCAGACGCTCATAGAGAACAATTGGAAGATGTAGAAAGGGGAGAGTACCTAGGGGCAGATCACTCGAATAATAAATAAGTTGGACAAAGTATCTTATTGTTATTTCTTATTTAAAGTAAATTTCTAACTTAAAGTAAATTTCTAAATTATTTCTAGTTATTTTCTTCTATGTATTTATTTTTTTCAAACCTAAAAAATTACTTATAATTTGTTAGTTTAATATGTAAAAACTATCATTATAAAATGTAAAACACTAGCTATAATATAGTAAAATGCTTTACCTCCTTGAACATAAGAACCAAGATGGGTGTAACATGGACGCCAATGGAGTTGGTTCCATACAGCACTCGCCTATCAAACAGAAGAATCTATTAGTTAACATCATTATCATACATCTTCAAGTCATTTTTTTTTAAATTGAGTCCAATAAAGAATAGTCTCTTCTAGCAAAAAAAAAAAAGGATGCACTAATTATAACAAAAAAAGATATGATGGTCTAGAAATATCTATTAATATATTATTACATTTTAAGGTTAAACAATATACTCAACAAAATGCAGATGCATTAAAAAGCATTTTTGTACAAATATGATAGTTCTATTCAACACAAGGGGTCATCCATAAATGACGTCACGCTTTTTTTGACGATTTTTACCTCCCCCCCTCCCCTCCGTCACACGTCGTCACAAAAAGCCAGACCCCCCCCCTAAAATGACGTCACACCTCAACCTACAACCCCCCTCAAAATTACAGTTGAATTTTTTAAAAACATCGATATTTTTCCAAAATCTTGTCTAAACTATTACAATTTATTAAAACAGTTATCTAAAACGCGAAATAACGTCTAAAATTCGTTTTCTAACATTGCTTTTTTATAATGCAAAAATGTGATGTCGCAACATCTGACCCCCCCCCCCCCTCCCCCTCATCACACATCGTCACAAAATTACGGACCCCCCCTCCCCCCTACGAGTGTGACGTCATTTATGGATGACCCCCAAGACACATTTTAAACTGCTGGTGGGTGGGGTTTACCGTTTGCACTGCTCCGTGGATGTGAGGCCTTTGGTGTTGTGGAAAAAAGATTGTCTGTAGCCCTCATCCAAACCCCTGGGGAAAAAATATATGACTAAAATTAGTAATTCATTTTAAAAAACCAAATTATTAGGCAAGTAGCCAGATTTTAACTAGACCAACTGGAAATGATTGAGCAAAAGATTGTAAAGTAATTATTTTAAAAAATGAAACTAACTAATAAAGCTAGAATATTCTTTCATGTTTTATTAATACTGATAATAATAATCACAGGGTTCAAAATCTACCTGTTGAAATTTCAAATTCAATGAAAAGTAAAGCAGTATTTTTGGAATTTCATTGTCTGACAAAATAATTTCATTTGATTAAAATAGAATAACAAGCAAAAAACTATATGTAATCCTCACCTCAGATGAATGTATTGAGCAAGTTCAGGGTCCCATATGTACTTGACCTTTTTACATATGAAGTAGCGGATCAGAGCTTCATCAATCTGCGGAATGTCAAAGTATAGAAATGAGGACATGTCACAATAGTATCAAATTGTTCTAGAACATGTTGGAGTACAATTAACCTGCTCAGGGCCATACAAACTTTGATTCAAATAATACAAGAAGAATTATGTTAACAAAATTATTTACAATTTACCGTCAAAGTTTACAGTATGAGACACAAATTACCAACCAGGCTACTGGTTTATAATATGATAACAAATAAAGCGAATAAAAATATTTTTCTTTACAATATGAAAACTACTACCTCAGGGCTGAAGACAGTCTGCTCTTGAAGACGTTTCCTGAATAACAGTTTCTTCGGCCGTCTAATCTTAACTCTAGAACATAATGTAACATTATCTTAACTGTAGCACATAATGTAACATTATCTTAGGACAAAATGTAACATTATCTTAACTCTAGGACAAAATGTAACATTATCTTAACTCTAGGACATAATGTAACATTATCTTAACTGTAGCACATAATGTAACATTATCTTAGGACAAAATGTAACATTATCTTAACTCTAGGACAAAATGTAACATCTTAACTCTAGGACAAAATGTAACATTATCTTAACACTAGGACATAATGTAACATTATCTTAACTGTAGCACATAATGTAACATTATCTTAACTGTAACACATAATGTAGCATTATCTTAACTTTAGCATATAATGTAACATTATCTTAACTGTAGCATATAATGTAACATTATCTTAACTGTAGCACATTATCTTACTCTAGAACAGAATGTAAAATTACTCTACTCATAATTTTAAGAAACGAAAAATCTATATATATAATTCTCTTCTGGGAGACGCTAGAAAACAAGCTGTAAACGCGCTCCCTACCATCCCCACCCCTACATGGTCTTAATGAGCTGTGGTTCACGCTATGTTTACCTTCGTGGAGTCGGGTTTAGTGACAGCTATTAGGGGCAGATAATTTAGTTTGAAACGATTTTAAACGATGGGGGGGGGGGGGGGGGGGGGGGAGGAAGGGGGGGGGAGGGGGGTTATGGTTCTTAAAGAGCTACTTATAGTGTTTTAAAGAAATATTTTCAGTGTCAGCGTTGGTACTGTCGAATTCACAAATTATGAATAACTGAAAAGTAGAAAAAAAAACAACTAAATAGCGGCGTATGATATGCCGCGGGTCGGCTCGTTGTAAATAATTGCTATGTAAGACTCATTTAATTTAAACTTACCCTGTTCCTTCTCTAGTGATTGTATGGACTGTACAAACATGATAGGAGCCATACTGGTCCTTTAGGATATAAACATGATAAAATTATATTGGTCCTTTAGGATATAAACATGATAAAATTATATTGGTCCTATAGGATACAAACATGATAAAATTATATTGGTCCTATAGGATACAAACATGATAAAATTATATTGGTCCTATAGGATATAAACATGATAAAATTATATTGGTACTATAGGATACAAACATGATAAAATTATATTGGTCCTATAGGATATAAACATGATAAAATTATATTGGTACTATAGGATATAAACATGATAAAATTATACTGGTCCTATAGGATACAAAGATGATAAAATGATACTGGTCCTATAGGATACAAACATGATAAAATTATATTGGTCCTATAGGATATAAACATGATAAAATTATATTGGTACTATAGGATATAAACATGATAAAATTATACTGGTCCTATAGGATACAAAGATGATAAAATGATACTGGTCCTATAGGATACAAACATGATAAAATTATATTGGTACTATAAGATACAAACATGATAAAATTATATTGGTACTATCACAATAAAAGCATTACAATGAGCTACAATGGTCTTAGGTTAAGATATCAACGTGACATGTATAACATGTAGGCTATATTTAGATTTTCTGCAACCTTTTATGACAATATTAAAAAGTAGTGAATATGAGATCTGTAGGCCTAAAGAATTATGTATCTAAAAAAGTGTTATTAATTATATTTATTTATTGTAGATGTTAAAACTAGCATATGTGAACTTTGTTTCATAAGAATATAGAACACCTTCAGCCAAGCTTCAGGGCAGCACTAAGAGTAAAACTATACTGTACAGCAGATAAATTACATTTGATTTTATCCATGTGAAGACAGAAAGTTTACACAGAATGGACAGAAATGTTTAGAGAATTACATAGGTGTTGCCAGCTTGGGTTAGCTTGCTGTACCTACCCTGAGCAAGACTTTTTCAGCCCTGGCCAGATCACACTCCACATGGGTTGACCACAGCAACAGGTGGGGCAGCCAGTAGAAGATCAGCCTCAGGATCCAACCAGTCAGGAGATAGCCAACATAGGTCAGATACAGCTGCGGCTTGCTTAATTTGTAGGGGTAAATTTCCTGAAATCATTAATTAAGCTCATGCTATTCTATTTGGGTGTTTGAAGACATTGATATCTGATAACAGACTCTTCAAAAAAATGTGTGTTACATTAAATAGTTTTATGTTTAAAAATTAGGGTTAGACATATGGCAGGAATAGGGTTGGGGTTAGGGGTGGGGTTACCATTAACATTAGCAAACCATGTGTGTATTTTAGTTTACTACCAGTAACCTTACACACCCCTTATTTAAGAAGATTCTACTATCAGACACTGGTATAAAAAATTCTTCTTTTATTTTTCTCAAGAATAGCTTGCTAATTATTTAGTATACAATAATTCAACTTTAAATATCAGATAATTAAAATGTAATCAAGTAGTGAAGCTTTGGAATTGATTTGTACATTCAAAGTTTACATTTAAATCAAAATTCTAACAGTTTTAGCAGTAGAAAAAACAAATGGCTGACCATTTGATCCTCATCCCCAATGTTGATGTAGTGGTGACCAGCCTTCATGTTTTGGCCTCTCGTTACAGCTGTTTTTAGCTGGTGATTGCCGAGCCCGTCTGTCGAGGGGAAAAAATAAAATTTGTTATTTCCTAAAATATAGGTCTTGTATAATTCAAAGTTTTATCAACATAAAAATTAAATAATTATTTTAAAGCCCACTAATAAGACCTCAAGAAAAAAGCTTTTGATTTGTTTTTGTGAACATTTTCTTTTGATTGTGGTAGACGGTTAATGGTGCTTTTGTTGGGGATAGGTATTCATAGTTTAAGTACAAAAATCATATTTAATGTTGGTTAGCCTTTAAGGATGCCATATCTATGACAACAGTAGAAGGGAGGAAAAAAAGAAGCTGAAACAAACTGAAGCTGTTTTCTTGTTTACTCTATAATTTTTATTAGGGTTGTTGAAATTCTATGGTGTCAATTTAGGGAAAAGGGGCAAGTTTTTTGTGTCAATATAATTCAATAATATGGATTTGGGTATAAACAAATCTCAAATTTCATGACATCTTTTCGATTGCCCCCCTTTACCTCTTTACTCTACCCACACCTCACAAACCCCTCCCAAAAAAATGTTTTTACATGTGCGTGAAGCTTTAAAAAAATTAATTGTCTTTTTCTTAATTCTTACAAGTCATTATGAACGTCCGCCAGTTTTTAAAGATCTATAGACGCGCCAATGTTAGGGGAACCCGCCATTTATTTCAAGTAAAGCAAATGGGTTGCCATAGTGTTTTAAACTAGGTCAAAAGAGTGCATCGATTGTTGCTGAATTCCCATTGGATGAAAGGTGGACTTGTATTTAGCTACTTTTGGTCTAGTCTTTGTCAGGTGTAGGCCCTATTGACACGGTGCTTTACATAAGCGAGAAATATCAGATCTTTCTTAATTAAGCCTATTTAAAATTTATGTTAGTTTCTTTTCCTTTTTGTTTACATGAGACGTAACTAACAAAACCTGTCGTCTCGTCGGCAGTAGCTCCCCCACCGTTATTTAATTAAACGGATGACGAAATAGTCTGTTACCATTTTTGTGAGTTCTGCATCTTCATATACCCCAGGTTCAGAAATTTATTTAATAATAAAAGTTCATTTAGATCTAGCAGGAAAGGGTATTTCATTTTCTATGCATTTTCTCTTTTGTGGATATAGGCCAACAATTAAACGTGTAAATGTAATTGTTGATTGAGATGTTCTACTACCATCTACCCAGAATTAATTTTTAAGACCATGAATCCTTGCCGATGTGAAACAACCGAAAACAGGAAATTCAACGTCATTTACACATGTTGTGTGTCGGGCACACCTTACAACACAGAGTTCGTTTAACGTGTTTCTGTGTGGTACACACTTTTGGAACATACACTTTCAGGATATAGCCTGAAACAGAGAGAACATACACTTTCAGGATATAGCCTGAAACACAGAGAACATACACTTTTAGGATATAGCCTGAAACAGAGAGAACATACACTTTCAGGATATAGCCTGAAACAGAGAGAACATACACTTTCAGGATATAGCCTGAAACAGAGAGAACATACACTTTCAGGATATAGCCTGAAACAGAGAGAACATACACTTTCAGGATATAGCCTGAAACACATACACTTTCAGGATATAGCCTGAAACAGAGAGAACATACACTTTCAGGATATAGCCTGAAACAGAGAGAACATACACTTTCAGGATATAGCCTGAAACAGAGAGAACATACACTTTCAGGATATAGCCTGAAACACATACACTTTCAGGATATAGCCTGAAACACAGAGAACATACACTTTCAGGATATAGCCACCACGCTGGAACATGGTCCTAAAACTGGTCAACTGACCTTGGCCCACCAACCATGACGACAGATAACCATCAGATGACACACCTCTATTGGCACTCGTGTGTAAGGCTACAAGCTCGCCAGGCTTATGGCCCCTTACAGAAGTGGTTCTAGTAGACGGCATCCTTCAGTGATCACATATAGACAAGCTGTATGTGTGTATGGCCATGGTCACATACTGTGATACTGAGAGGCTGTATGTGTGTATGGCCATGGTCACATATAGACAGGCTGTATGTGTGTATGGCCATGGTCACATACTGTGATACTGAGAGGCTGTATGTGTGTATGGCCATGGTCACATATAGACAGGCTGTATGTGTGTATGGCCATGGTCACATATAGACAGGCTGTATGTGTGTATGGTCATGGTCACATATAGACAGGCTGTATGTGTGTATGGCCATGGTCACATATAGACAGGCTGTATGTGTGTATGGTCATGGTCACATATAGACAGGCTGTATGTGTGTATGGCCATGGTCACATATAGACAGGCTGTATGTGTGTATGGCCATGGTCACATATAGACAGGCTGTATGTGTGTATGGCCATGGTCACATATAGACAGGCTGTATGTGTGTATGGCCATGGTCACATAGACAGGCTGTATGTGTGTATGGCCATGGTCACATATAGACTGGCTGTATGTGTGTATGGTCATGGTCACATATAGACAGGCTGTATGTGTGTATGGCCATGGTCACATATAGACAGGCTGTATGTGTGTATGGCCATGGTCACATATAGACAGGCTGTATGTGTGTATGGCCATGGTCACATATAGACTGGCTGTATGTGTGTATGGTCATGGTCACATATAGACAGGCTGTATGTGTGTATGGCCATGGTCACATATAGACAGGCTGTATGTGTGTATGGCCATGGTCACATATAGACAGGCTGTATGTGTGTATGGCCATGGTCACATACTGTGATACTGAGAGGCTGTATGTGTGTATGGTCATGGTCACATATAGACTGGCTGTATGTGTGTATGGCCATGGTCACATATAGACAGGCTGTATGTGTGTATGGCCATGGTCACATATAGACAGGCTGTATGTGTGTATGGCCATGGTCACATATAGACAGGCTGTATGTGTGTATGGTCATGGTCACATATAGACAGGCTGTATGTGTGTATGGCCATGGTCACATACTGTGATACTGAGAGGCTGTATGTGTGTATGGCCATGGTCACATATAGACTGGCTGTATGTGTGTATGGCCATGGTCACATATAGACAGGCTGTATGTGTGTATGGCCTTGGTCACATATAGACAGGCTGTATGTGTGTATGGCCATGGTCACATATAGACAGGCTGTATGTGTGTATGGCCATGGTCACATATAGACAGGCTGTATGTGTGTATGGCCATGGTCACATAGACAGGCTGTATGTCTGTATGGTCATGGTCACATATAGACTGGCTGTATGTGTGTATGGCCATGGTCACATATAGACAGGCTGTATGTGTGTATGGCCATGGTCACATATAGACAGGCTGTATGTGTGTATGGCCATGGTCACATATAGACAGGCTGTATGTGTGTATGGTCATGGTCACATATAGACAGGCTGTATGTGTGTATGGCCATGGTCACATACTGTGATACTGAGAGGCTGTATGTGTGTATGGCCATGGTCACATATAGACTGGCTGTATGTGTGTATGGCCATGGTCACATATAGACAGGCTGTATGTGTGTATGGCCTTGGTCACATATAGACAGGCTGTATGTGTGTATGGCCATGGTCACATATAGACAGGCTGTATGTGTGTATGGCCATGGTCACATATAGACAGGCTGTATGTGTGTATGGCCATGGTCACATATAGACAGGCTGTATGTGTGTATGGCCATGGTCACATATAGACAGGCTGTATGTGTGTATGGCCATGGTCACATATAGACAGGCTGTATGTGTGTATGGCCATGGTCACATATAGACTGGCTGTATGTGTGTATGGCCATGGTCACATATAGACAGGCTGTATGTGTGTATGGCCATGGTCACATATAGACAGGCTGTATGTGTGTATGGCCATGGTCACATATAGACAGGCTGTATGTGTGTATGGCCGTAGTCACATACAGGCTGTACATCGTATGTGGCCAATGTCAGTTCACCAAACTACCAACCAATTTCGTCAGCTAACACCAAATATGTCAAGTCCCTCTCCTGTGTTGCAGTCCATTCTAATGTCTGTGAGTCTACCCAGCTCTGATAAGTACCTGACTCGTGTTGGTACATCAGTGAGTCTACCCATCTCCGGGGGATGGAATGTAAAGGAGGCTTATGTATGCCCACGTGAGCCGATGCTACATGAACGGTCAAGTTTGAAGGGGGAGGCTACTTATTAGCCTACTTAAAATATATCTTTTGTCCTCATATTATACATTTTATAAAACCGATTTTAAAGACTTCGGGGAAAAAACAGCACAAGTTTTTTATAACCTTAAATTAACCATTTCTTAAGTATTACATAATAAAAGAGTAATTAAATTTATCTTAACCTCGACCCAGATGTTTGCATTATAATCAACATGTTTAAAAATAAACTTCGTATCAACTGTAACGTGTTTGTTATCTACAACCTTTAAAAAGTTTGGCCATGATATACGAAACAAATAAAACGAATGTCAAGAGAGCTGTGCAGCTTGGCTCAGATGTTGTTTACAGGGACTACCTTAATGCTTATGTTGGTTGAATTCATGCTATAATTATTATATTGTTTTTAACGATGAAGTATATACTGCCACAAAATACAAAACACTAAAACTACTAGACTAGATAGTTACTTGACTAAGGCTGAGCGTTTTTAATTAAGTTTGCTATTTCGTGTTAGTTGTATCTACTTTTACTAGACCAACATTTTTATGAGTAAAAAAATAATTTACGATAGAATAAAAATGTCTAACATTCTTGTTTTCGTCTTTGTTGACGTCATAATGGTAATTCCCCAATTTTGTAACCAAGAGGGATCTCTCTGTGTGTCGTTAAACCATGGGGCAGTAGAACAGCACAGAGAGAGAACCCGTTAAAGACGACTGCTATATTTAGACCTGGGAATCTTGGGAAATACCGCAGTTAATCTTAAGACAGGTTGACTTTGTGGGGGTTAGGTGAAATAGTGGGGTCGTGTAGGGGGTCGTGTTTGGTCTTAAGACATGTTGACTTTGTGGGGGTTAGGTGAAATAGTGGGGTCATGCA